TACTATCCTGGTTTTTGTATATACTGTATTTAGTTATGTTTATGAGTTCTGTGTTATCAAAGATGCCAGCAGTAGAGGGCGAGAAGCAACAACAAAATTCATAATATGTTTAAGTCACAGTTAATCACTGGCATGATGAGGGCTAATAGACAGAAATATCTGGAACATATTGAGAGAACTGTCTGACGACAGAGAAGTAAAAACTTTGAAAAAAAGGAGCTGAATGGTCATAGACCATGGGGCAGTTTAAGAAGGCGAGTGATATCTGCAGCAATGAACCTCAAGGGCTCAGAATACTCAAGAAGTAAATTGATGCTATGTATTTAAATTAAATGAGTCTCATTAAGGTTTATCTGTAAGCTATATGAGTCTCATTAAGGTTTATCTGTAAGCTATATGAGTCTCATTAAGGTTTATCTGTAAGCTATATGAGTCTCATTAAGGTTTATCTGTAAGCTATATGAGTCTCATTAAGGTTTATCTGTAAGCTATATGAGTCTCATTAAGGTTTATCTGTAAGCTATATGAGTCTCATTAAGGTTTATCTGTAAGCTATATGAGTCTCATTAAGGTTTATCTGTAAGCTATATGAGTCTCATTAAGGTTTATCTGTCAGCTATATGAGTCTCATTAAGGTTTATCTGTAAGCTATATGAGTCTCATTAAGGTTTATCTGTAAGCTATATGAGTCTCATTAAGGTTTATCTGTAAGCTATATGAGTCTCATTAAGGTTTATCTGTCAGCTATATGAGTCTCATTAAGGTTTATCTGTAAGCTATATGAGTCTCATTAAAGTTTATCTGTCAGCTATATGAGTCTCATTAAGGTTTAACTGTAAGCTATATGAGTCTCATTAAGGTTTATCTGTCAGCTATATGAGTCTCATTAAGGTTTATCTGTCAGCTATATGAGTCTCATTAAGGTTTAACTGTGAGATAAATGAGTCTCATTAAGGTTTATCTGTCAGCTATATGAGTCTCATTAAGGTTTAACTGTGAGCTATATGAGTCTCATTAAGGTTTATCTGTCAGCTATATGAGTCTCATTAAGGTTTATCTGTAAGCTATATGAGTTCAGGTGGGTGGCATGATGTTGACATCACCCACCCAATTCCCATTGGTCTATTCTTCTTCATTCATCAGCTGTAAACTCTGGCAGAAAGTCCTGGTTGTACGTCCATTTGGACTTTAACTTTGTGCCAGGGCCTGAGTTGTGCGTGTACATCCATTTTACTATCTTATTTGCATGCAGCTGGTTGTTCCTTGCCGCTCAGGCAAATGCAGTCCGACTTCGAAAGAAGTCCCCAATTAATCTACTCCTACAACATGCTTGTTGGGGAGTCAGTGGGTCTAATCTTTTTACCCCCCCCCTCCCCCCCCACCCCCATAGGGACCCGGGACCCACACTGGGATTTGGTCCTTACATTTACCAAGAGCCCTATGCTCCAGTAATATGAATAAGGTCCTTATGTTATTGGTTTAGCCACCCTATGCTCCAGTAATATGAATAAAGTCCTTATGTTATTGGTTTAGCCACCCTATGCTCCAGTAATATGAATAAGGTCCTTATGTTATTGGTTTAGCCACCCTATGCTCCAGTAATATGAATAAAGTCCTTATGTTATTGGTTTAGCCACCCTATGCTCCAGTAATATGAATAAAGTCCTTATGTTATTGGTTTAGCCACCCTATGCTCCAGTAATATGAATAAGGTCCTTATGTTATTGGTTTTAGCCACCCTATGCTCCAGTAATATGAATAAAGTCCTTATGTTATTGGTTTTAGCCACCCTATGCTCCAGTAATATGAATAAGGTCCTTATGTTATTGGTTTAGCCACCCTATGCTCCAGTAATATGAATAAGGTCCTTATGTTATTGGTTTAGCCACCCTATGCTCCAGTAATATGAATAAGGTCCTTATGTTATTGGTTTAGCCACCCTATGCTCCAGTAATATGAATAAAGTCCTTATGTTATTGGTTTAGCCACCCTATGCTCCAGTAATATGAATAAAGTCCTTATGTTATTGGTTTAGCCACCCTATGCTCCAGTAATATGAATAAGGTCCTTATGTTATTGGTTTAGCCACCCTATGCTCCAGTAATATGAATAAGGTCCTTATGTTATTGGTTTAGCCACCCTATGCTCCAGTAATATGAATAAGGTCCTTATGTTATTGGTTTAGCCACCCTATGCTCCAGTAATATGAATAAAGTCCTTATGTTATTGGTTTAGCCACCCTATGCTCCAGTAATATGAATAAAGTCCTTATGTTATTGGTTTAGCCACCCTATGCTCCAGTAATATGAATAAAGTCCTTATGTTATTGGTTTAGCCACCCTATGCTCCAGTAATATGAATAAAGTCCTTATGTTATTGGTTTAGCCACCCTATGCTCCAGTAATATGAATAAAGTCCTTATGTTATTGGTTTAGCCACCCTATGCTCCAGTAATATGAATAAGGTCCTTATGTTATTGGTTTAGCCACCCTATGCTCCAGTAATATGAATAAAGTCCTTATGTTATTGGTTTAGCCACCCTATGCTCCAGTAATATGAATAAGGTCCTTATGTTATTGGTTTAGCCACCCTATGCTCCAGTAATATGAATAAGGTCCTTATGTTATTGGTTTAGCCACCCTATGCTCCAGTAATATGAATAAAGTCCTTATGTTATTGGTTTAGCCAGCGTTTTCAGTCCAGAGAATCTACAATAAAACACTATAGGCTAGAAGGAGTAAAACTAACAGTTCGTCGTCTTCTTAGCAGTCAGGGGCTTGAAACTCGGAAAGTTCTGGATCTTGGCCTTGTTCCAGAACTGTAGTTTCACTTGCCCGTTCATTTTACAAACTGACTTATTTGTGCGTAGACTGTTCGTCCCTTACCTCTTGAGCAGACGCCCTCTGACTTTAAAGGGAGCAGCCCTAATTAGCTTTTATGGCAGGTAGTGGGTCTGTTCTTGTTGTGTGTGCCAAAAATGGGACTACAGAACACACTCGGGGGGAACTAACAATTCAGATAAAATAAATTAATGTAGCAGCAATCTGTCATAGAAGAGAGTCCGAGATGTGCAATAGCTTTAGAGTTGAGGTGAGTCAAGATATGCAATAGCTTTAGAGTTGAGGTGAGTCAAGATATGCAATAGCTTTAGAGTTGAGGTGAGTCATGATGTGCAATAGCTTTAGAGTTGAGGTGAGTCATGATGTGCAATAGCTTTAGAGTTGAGGTGAGTCATGATGTGCAATAGCTTTAGAGTTGAGGTGAGTCAAGATCTGCAATAGCTTTAGAGTTGAGGTGAGTCATGATATGCAATAGCTTTAGAGTTGAGGTGAGTCATGATGTGCAATAGCTTTAGAGTTGAGGTGAGTCATGATGTGCAATAGCTTTAGAGTTGAGGTGAGTCAAGATGTGCAATAGCTTTAGAGTTGAGGTGAGTCATGATGTGCAATAGCTTTAGAGTTGAGGTGAGTCATGATGTGCAGTAGCTTTAGAGTTGAGGTGAGTCAAGATGTGCAGTAGCTTTAGAGTTGAGGTGAGTCATGATGTGCAATAGCTTTAGAGTTGAGGTGAGTCATGATGTGCAATAGCTTTAGAGTTGAGGTGAGTCATGATGTGCAATAGCTTTAGAGTTGAGGTGAGTCATGATGTGCAATAGCTTTAGAGTTGAGGTGAATCATGATGTGCAATAGCTTTAGAGTTGAGGTGAGTCAAGATCTGCAATAGCTTTAGAGTTGAGGTGAGTCAAGATCTGCAATAGCTTTAGAGTTGAGGTGAGTCAAGAACCAACATCACAGCACTCAGGATATTCCCATACACACTCCGTCCTTATAGACCAGTAGTGGATACAACAGGATGTAGAGCAAGAGGTAGACCAAGAACATGGAAAGATAGCATCAGAGAAACACTACAGCACCATGATGTGTCTATGGTTGAAGCAGCCAGAAGAGCACTAAGCAGGACCTTATATCTCCCTCGACACCCGATAAAACACTTAGAGAAGAAGAAGAAGGCACTTGGTGGGTGAGAGGGCCAACCACCATGACATTTTTTACTACCCAGTTCAGACGTTGACATAAGAGTTCAGTTCGTATATAAAAAAAAATCAGTCCTGATGTAAATGATGTAAATATAAACTCAAGACCTTTGTGTCAACAGGCAAGGAAGCTAACCTCAGCTCCTTACTGATCATGACGAGTCTGCCAGAAATATCACTTTATGACCCCTAATTCTTTCAGTCCTAGGCAGTCATGTTGAGGCAGTAATAACAACAACAAAACCTTGGGTATACTACATCCACAGGAGCTAAACGCACAACCCTTGTAGGAGGAACCTTGTGTGCTGTTGGGTGTTCCACTATGCCCTGTAATTCACATCAATGAACAGAGGGGGAACCCTTGAGACTGTAGAACCATTAAATATGTAGTAAACAAACAGACAGTGTACTGATTGGCACACACAGAAAGAAGTATGAAGGGAAGATATCAAACTGAATGAAAAGTATAACAGTGAGCTAAACAATATAACAAACACGCACAAAACGTGAACGTTGTGGCAATAGAACCCTCATCAGCACATACACGAATCAAACAAAACCACATGAATACACAAGATTACCCAACTCCTTACATCACTCCTCGCTGCCATTCTCTCACACGACTGTGGTGATCCATTTGTTATAAGCTTTTTTTATGTTTGAAAAAGTTTGTCTGGATTGCTGTTTGCGTTGAGTTTTTATACTATTTACCGGTAAGCTATAATTCTGACATTTTGCGCACACACGTTTTGTTGATGACAATGCACTGTGGTAAGAAAAAATATTGCGACAGTTTTTGCTTCTCAGTGGCCATTTTTTATATCTGGTATTTTGTATGGCCAGTAAATAACATATTTTTATCAAGAGAAATAATCACGCTACAGGGGAAATAATCTCTTTATTCTTGTTAATAAAATGTTATATTTTAAGATATAACGCACTTAACGTTTCTGTGGTTCTTTTGCAGGCTCGTCAGTGACAAGTACCATCAGCTCATCCAGTTCTCCCGCCACATCTTCCAACCTGGCCAACCTGCCAAACAACTCAACAGCACCTGCCCTGGGGTAAACCCGTACGCCTCTGCCAGTTTGGATGTGATGTCAACGGATCTATTTTGCTGTTCTGCAGGTCACTTCAACTCTTTGTCTGGTTTCATTTCCTGTTGTTTTTGTTTTGTTTTGGGTGGTCATTTGTGTACAATCTTTTTTCTCTCAAATTCACAGAAGCAATTGAGGTAGTCAGGCATATATTTATTATTGCTGTTATGTGTCGCATTTATTGAATGGTTATGTTGTTATTATAATTTCATACCTTTTAACATATGACATTTTCCTAAAAAATATTATTGAAGAAGATTTCTTGCCTGCTTTTCACAATAGGAGCATCATAGTAGTGCTTTGTGTAGATATTAGGGTCGCCCAAATTATTACTTAAGTTATTTGAATATTAAATTCTTCTTCAAAGAAGAGGAAAATATTAAAATAGGCGCGGACACCCAAAATAAACCCTGAAATGAACATTGATGAGAATCCAAAGTTGCTGGATTGGATTCCATCCATTATATTCTTCTTCTTTGTATTCATCAGCTGTAAACTCTGGCGTAAAGTTCTGGTTGCTCGTCCTGTTCCAGAACCTGAGTGTTGCGTGTGCATCCGTTTTACATTTGTATATAGACTGCTGGTTCCTTGCCTCTCAGGCAGATGCACTCCGACTTCGAAGGAAGCTCCTAATTAGTCGAATCTTAAGACATGCTTTTGGGTAGGCAGTGGGTCTATTCTTGTTTTCCTTATAATAGGGCCCGGAACGCACTCGGGTAATCTATTGATAATGATTGATTAATCGACTAGTGCTGATGGCAGCCCGGAGAGAATAAATGATTGAAAAATTGATTGATTGACTAATGTTGCTAGCAAATCGGAGAGAATAAATTATTGATCAGTCGATCGATCAACTAATGCTGCCAGCAACCTGGAGAGAATAAATGATTTATGGATCGACTAGTTCAACGGCTTAGAGAACTGAAAATTTGATTAACACTTGACTGGAGCATTGTTTCTGAGAGACCATTCAATTTCTGTGTTTGGTTTTCACTGTTTGATGCAGTGGCAGGATGTGGCAGATGATCTCCAGATGGTGGACCTGACATCTTGTCATGATAGAAGGTTTTCCGGAGGGTTTTATCTCCGCGAGGGACATGCTACTGAATGAATGAATGATGCAGTGGTGGCCTGAGATGTTGAGTAATTTATCTCAACAGCCTCACAGAAGCCACTGTATCTTTCTTTTACTTCTTTGTTCACCGGCTGTAAGCTAGGTCAGAAAGTCCTGGTTGTTTGTCTGTTTGCTCTTTGGTTTTGTGTCAGGGGCTTGAGTTTTGCATGCACATCCGTTTTACTGTCTTATTTGTGGGCAGCTGGTGGTTCCTTGCCGCTCAGGCAGATGCACTCCGACCTCGAAGGAAGTCCCCAGTTAGTCTACTCTTATGACATGCTTGATGGGGAGGCAGTGGGTCTATTCTTGTTTTCCTCCACAGTGGGAGCTCCATAACCCACACAGGTAATAGCCACTATACCATCTTGACGGAGATATTCAAGTGGAATGGAGGATTAGACCTCTACGGGTGAGAAGGATTGTCTAGATTTTTTTCTCTGGGAAACGCTGGTGAGTTGGGAAATGAACAGGCGGACAGACTGGCTGGCTCTGCACAAGTTGGTGGATACTGGTGCATGATAAGGCAGACGTGGTTAGTGCCTTGTGGGAGAGCGTGTACAGTTCGGAGGAGCAGATGGATAAACCTGGCGAGATTGATGCAGCGGGGAGTGACGAGGGTTTATAGCAGATGCTTGAGGCAAGACAAACGTTTAATCAAAATGCTACTGGCACCATTAGTATCAGAACTCTGCACTGGCTGCTGAAGATGGGGAGGGAGCGCTTATGGGAATGCCCAGGTTGCTGTGATGTCGGTTCTTGACTCAACGCATCTTGACGTTGCAGGGGTTGTTAAACCATAACTTTTATGCAGACCCGGACAGAATTAATTTTACTTATTATATCTTAAACCTTTGTAATGCCGGGATGCTGGGTTCGATCCCAGCTGGTATCAAGAAAGCCGACCATCCAGAAAGCAATGGCAAACTACTGGATGTAAATTTGCCTAGAAAAACCACACAACAGCCAGGTTCTCTAACGTCCTGTAAAGAATACACAACTAACCTAAATATCTTAAACATTTCTCACTTAGTTTGGATTCATTAACAGTCAGAAAATATAACCAGGAATTCTGCCAGTGAATTTGATGTAAATGTTTTGTTAGTGTCATGTATTCTGTCACAAAACTTTATTCTGAAATATTCTGGTAGTAAAACTGACTTCGCATAACCTGCCAGTTAAATTAATGGCAACATTTTTTGTCATTGAAGTCAATTATGACATATTCTGACTCTTTTGTTTGTAACATATTCAGTATGTTAAATTGATTTTAATTTATTCTGGAATAGAAATTGATTACCATGTATTTAGTCAGTATAATTATCTCTCCAGCGAAAAAATTTGAAAAAGAGGAGGGATTTTATTAGTCAAAGTGATTGTAGCATATTCAGTCAGTTAAACTAAGTACACTGTGTCTAGTCGATTAAATTCATTGTTTTTTCCACAAAAAGATGTGGGGAAAAAGAGTTTTTTTTTTTTAAAGACAAATTGATTATAACATATTCACTCAAATTAATTACATCGTTTAGTTGGTTAAATTAATTGGTTTCTCAATAAAATTCTTCTTCTTCTTCTTCGTGTTCACCAGCTGTGAACTCTTTTGGAAAGTTCTGGTTGTTCATCCACTTCTGACTGCAGTCCTCTTACAGAACCTGAGTGTTGTGTGTGCACTCTTTTTACAGATCTTATTTGTATGCAGACTGCTGGTTTCTTGCCTCTCTGGCAGATGCACTGTGACTGTGAAGGAAGCTCCCAATTAGTCCATTCTTACGACATGCTTTTGGATAGACAGTGGGTCTGTTCTTGTTTTCCCTATAACAGGGCCCCGAAACCCACACAGGAATCTCCACACAAAAATATGTGAAAAGGAGGAAGGATTTGGTTAGACAAATTGATTGTAATGTATCCAGTCATTTAAATTATTGGCAACATGTTTAGTCGGTTAAACTCAGTGTTTCTCCACAAAAATCGTGATGGTTTCCAGCGCCCCATTTTGGGGAAGGGGCCGAGAGATAGACCCACCCCCTGTCTGTAAAGCAGGTTGTAAGAAGGGACTAATTAGGAATTTGTTTTCTATTTGAAATCGAAGCACATCTGCCTGAGAGGCAAGGAACCAACAGTCTGCATACAAATAAGCAGGTCTCTTAAACAGATGTGCATCAAGTTCTGGAACAAGACTAAAGTCCAGAAGTGGACAGACAACCAGAACTTTCTGCTGGAGTTTACAGCAGGTGAACGCTGCAAACAGTGAAGAAGAAATGTGGAACAGGAAATGTTTTTGAGAAGTAAAGGTTGTCGTCTTGCTTTTGACTTCATTATCATTGAGTTTTGATCGGTCCATAAAAATAATAACAGGCTAGCTTGTGAAGTGGGGTAGAAAGGAAGGGGGAGGGGGAGTGGGAGTGTCAACAAACACACAAGAATGAAAACTTTAATAATGGCAGGTTTTTTTGTATGATTGGGTACACATGTTTCCGTGTGATAAGTGTTTATGTTTCTGTATGGTTGTGTGCATTATTTGTCCATACACCTACCTCGAGGTAGACAGTGTTGTGTGATTATATGCATATGTTTCTGTGTTTGAATTTGGACATGGAACAAGTATTGTTGTCTGCACTTGTTTAGGCACTTCTTGTAGCTCAACTTGGAGTGGTTTAGACAGTGTTACGTGCACATGTGTTTGTCACTGCTGGTACGTCAGATTAGAGTGATACAAACAGTGTTGGGTGCACATATGTTTGTCACAGCTGGAACTTCAGATTAGAGTGATACAGTTGTGTGTGCACATGTGTTTGTCACAGCTAGTACCTCAGATTAGAGTGATACAAACAGCGTTGTGTGCACATGTGTTTATCATAGCTATTACCTCAGATTAGAGTAATACTAACAGGGTTGTGTGCACATGTGTTTGTCACAGCTGGTACCTCAGATTAGAATGATACAAACAGCATTGTGTGCACATGTGTTTGTTACAGCTGGAATCTCAGATTAGAGTGATACAGGGTTGTGTGCACATGTGTTTTTCATAGCTGGTACCTCAGATTAGAGTGATACAAACAGCGTTGTGCACATGTGTTTGTCACAGCTATTACCTCAGATTAGAGTGATTCAGTGTTGGGTGCACATGTGTTTGTCACAGCTGGTACCTCAGATTAGAGTGATACAAACAGCGTTGTGTGCACATGTGTTTATCACAGCTATTACCTCAGATTAGAGTGATACTAACAGGGTTGTGTGCACATGTATTTGTCACAGCTGGTACCTCAGATTAGAATGATACAAACAGTGTTGTGTGCACATGTGTTTGTCACAGCTGGAACCTCGGATTAGAGTGATACAGGGTTGTGTGCACATGTGTTTGTCACAGCTGGTACCTCAGATTAGAGTGATACAAACAGCGTTGTGTGCACATGTGTTTGTCACAGCTATTACCTCAGATTAGAGTGATACAGTGTTGTGTGCACATGTGTTTGTCACAGCTGGTATCTCAGATTAGAGTGATACAAACAGCATTGTGTGCACATGTGTTTGTCACAGCTATTACCTCAGATTAGAGTGATACAGTGTTTGGGTGCACATGTGTTGTCACAGCTGGTACTTCAGATTAGAGTGATACAAACAGCGTTGTGTGCACATGTGTTTGTCACAGCTATTACCTCAGATTAGAGTGATGCAGTGTTTGGGTGCACATGTGTTTATCACAGCTGGTACTTCAGATTAGAGTGATACAAACAGCGTTTTGCACATGTGTTTGTCACAGCATACAAAGTGCTGGCTGATCATATTTTGGCAAATTGTATAAATCTGACAGTGTAAAATTGTCACTTTTTAAAATATTGCTTTTCTTATATTAATCTGTT